TTGTCTGTAACACTGTCTCTCAACCAAATATGTCCCTGAGGTTTTAAGATTACAATGTAGGAGGCTGTACACCTTGTAGGCCACCTAGTGGAAGTGTATAATGACAATGTAATGACTGTTACATAACAAAATTTAATAACATTTTATTTTCATTTATTTTATCTGAAATGTTCTGCTGCTTCCCTTTATAATTGGCAAGTGGGGAACCCACAAGCACTTGTGGGAGACATGTTATTTTCCTCTCTATCTCCTCCCCCACTACACTTTCCCTACCTTCCTGCTTCCTTTTTTCTTTCCCACCCACTAGCCAACCTACCTCTGTCTGCTCCCCCATGTACACTTTCTCTTCTTCCCTACCCCTGAGGGTAGCCTCTCCCCGGTAAAAGATTGTCTCCATTGTGCAGTGGCTGCTAGTGTCAGACCAGTCCCAGGGGTGTAGTGACTGTCATCATGCCTGCCACAGTAGCAGCTGCCACCACTGGGCCCAATAGTGTAGTCAGTACCTGTGGTCCTGCTTCCATCTGTCCTTTTCTCCCGCCAGGTAGTCTACCTTTATCTGACTCACTCTTCAGATTTTCCTTTCCCTGAGAAAAGTCTGTCTGGGCTGCATGGTGGCCAGTGCCAGGCTAGGTTGTGCAAGGCTGGGTTTACATGATGGTTGCCACTAGTGGACTGGGCTGAGGTACATTCAGTGGTCCCCCAGTAATTCCTCCTCCTTCAGGGACATGAAGGGGGGAGCTTTCCCAGGGCTGTTTTTGCCTCCCAGTTCACTCCTGCTACTCCCCCCAGCTTTGCAATACAGATACCAAGGCTTTGGAAGGCTTGGCAGTATGGTTGTGGTTACCTAGTAACCCCAACAGCCACTAAGATCCTAGTGGCCATTCTTTTCTTAAGACCACAGGATTTTTCCCCTGTTATTTGGGAGAATTTTTAATCCCCTTTACTTAAGATTTCAGATTTTTCTACAGGCTTGTAGAGAAATCTCTCTACGCCATGTGCCCTTAGCAACACTTTGCAGCTCTATCAACCATATCCTCTTTGTAGCATGTTTCAGAAATAGAAATATTGATGGATCTCAATAAATGGTTACCTTTAGCTGGATTGTGCTCCATATGAAGTATATTTATATGAATCGTCTGCATTCATGTTTCCATGGATATTCTGTGTACTGAATATATCTCAAATTGGTAATATCTGCTATAGTTCTCTTTATTAATGCTATGTTCATCTTACTTAAGTGTTCTGAACATAAATATCTTCGATAGTAGTTTATTTGTCCTGTGCATTTCAATTTTTTCATTCTTAAATCTTCTTTCCCAGTAGTTTTTTGTTTTGATGCTTATATTTTAAATGATGGCACAAATATATTTTTATGCTGAGAAAAATATATTGCTCAAATGTGCCACTGATCTGGTTTGTACATTCTGACATTCATTCCAAATTTCACTAGGTAATTTTTCTAATGGTGTCATTTCTTTTCATACCTCTTTAGTGACTGAAACGCAGTTTTTTAAAGGGAAATGTCCTGACCAATGTCTGGCAGCTCCTATTAGCTGAAGTGCATCACAAACAGTAACAAGGTCTCCAAGGACCACTTTTCTTGCAAGCGGTGTAGTCATATTTCCTCATTAGTTCGTTTCAGTTGTCACTAATGCCATATTCTAGGCTTTTGCAAAGTAGACCAAAACATAAAACTGAATATACACATAGAACAGACAGTTATTTTCCATATTCAAGGTCCTTTTAAATCCATTTGATTGCTTGTAGTTTACACAGTTTAATTAATTAACCTTTACCCTGATTCAAGACACAATATTAGGAAGATGTTGCCTAGGAATAAATAGTTCACCGGTTGCAATGTATGATAAATCTCTCATAAGTTTGATTTTTGTTAATAATTATTTTAATATTTATTTAAGTTATTTAGGTCCCAACATAAAAAGTAGTAAACTGTGAACAGAGTGTTTAAATATGTAAAAACATGTTTTTAAAATGAAAACAATTATTTTTAAAGTGTACCAAAACTTTAAAGGCAAGGCAAAGGATGTATATGGATAATCTTGCTAGAATGCACCCTCTTGGCTCAGTATATTTTCTGTTTGCCTACAGATAAACTTTCACATTTGATACGCATCTATATGGTGTTGCATTGTTAATTACAATGTTATAGATAGGATATTATATGTGTGTATCAAGTGCTGTTAAGTTGCAGCTGACTTATTGTGATCCCATGAAGGCAGGTGAGAAGCAGAGGTGGTCTGCCATTGCCTTCCTCTGCAGAGTCTTCCTTGGTGTTCTCCCTTCCATGTACCAACTCTGCTTAGCTTTCAGGATCTGATGATTTGGTTGTACTGTGCCACCTTCCCTTCTAGGATAGTATATTCACACCAAAATATACTATGCCTGGATGATAATTGATATTTTTAGGTGCTATTCATGATTAAAAGAAATTGTTATTCAGAACTTGAAACAAAGGTTGCTTGGGGCTGTTTTTGTTTTTTAAATTGAATTTTAGTTAAAATTTGTGTGTGTGAGAATTTTATTAAGCGGATGTCATTTCACATGTGACTTGAGAGCATTGCACCCAATCTCTCAATGCATGCCAGTTCAGGTGTAGAGAAAAGTTTTGCTCAACCTAACGTACACAATGTGGTTACACTTTATTATATGGCTTTCAAGAAAGTAATGAGAGATGTGTAGAAAACTGTTAAGGTGTCTGTTTCGTTATTAATGATAAGCCTTTGCTGCTTCAAATTGCAAGCCAAAAACTTTGGCAATAAAATCATAATAGGCTTCATTTGGCTGAAGTAAAGACTGATGTTTTTAAAATGTGTAGAAAACAGTGTTTGCATGATTCAACATTTATGGCTATATTTTATTTATTTATTTATTTATTTATTTTTATGCCCCGCCCTCCCCGCATGCGGGCTCAGGGCGGCTTACAACATACGGGTGCAATGCGGCACCGTCGTTCCACAGTATGGCACACAGTGCGATAAAAACACAATAAAACAATTAAGAACAGTTAGGTACAATGGGCGACGCCCAAGGATCCTGCGTGACAAGCACCCTCTCTCCCTATTGCACATGCCCTTGAATCCAGAGGGGGAATGCTGTGGCCCCCCGGTGTTCATTGGCCACTCAGCCGCATCCAGCGGTGCTGCTATACGGTCCCTGTTGGTGGTAGTGGTAGCGGCGGCGGCTTCTATTTGAAAGCCTGGCGGAAGAGCTCCGTCTTACAGGCCCTGCGGAACTGTAACAGGTCCCGCAGGGCCCTGATCTCTTCCGGGAGCTCATTCCACCAGATAGGAGCCGCCACCGAAAAGGACCTAGCCCTTGTGGCAGCAAGCCTGGCCTCTTTAGGGCCCGGGGTCGCAAGACGATATTGCGACCCCAATCGAAGTGCTCTTTGGGATCTGTGTGGGGAAAGGCGGTCCCTCAGGTATGCCGGACCCTGGCCATGTAGGGCTTTAAAGGTAAGCACCAGCACTTTGAAGCGGATCCGGTATGCTATAGGCAGCCAGTGCAGCGCCTTGAGCACAGGCTGGATGTGGTCCCGTTTTGAGGCACCAGCAACCAGCCTGGCCGCCGCATTCTGCACTAGCTGCAGCCTCCGAATTAGCGACAAAGGCAGCCCCATGTAGAGAGCGTTGCAGTAGTCTAGCCTCGAGGTGACCGTCGCATGGATCGCGGCTGAGAAAGGGGACCAACTGCTGCACCAGCTGAAGATGGTAAAAGGCCACTTTGGCAGTGGCTGCCACCTGGGCCTCCATCGTTAAGGTGGAGTCCAGGAGCACTCCCAAACTCCTAACCTCCGAAGCTGGCACCAAAGGGGCCCCTCGAAGGCTGGGAGCGGGAGCCCCAATCCCATACCGTTCCGACCCAGGCACAGGACCTCTGTCTTCGCCGGGTTCAGCTTCAACCGACTCAGCCTGAGCCATCCAGATACGGCCTGCAACGCCCGGTGCAGATCTTCTGGATCGGAGTCCGACTGGCCGCCCAACATCAGATAGAGCTGGGTGTCGTCGGCATATTGGTGACACCCGAGCCCATGCCTCCGGACGATCTGGGCGAGGGGGCACATATAGATGTTAAATAGCATCGGGGAGAGAACTGCCCCCTGAGGCACACCGCATTCAAGCAGGTGCCTTCGGGACCGCTGCTCCCCTACTTCCACCCTCTGTCCCCGACCTTGGAGGAAAGAGACAAGCCATTGAAGAGCGAGCCCCTGAATCCCCACGTCGGCAAGGCGGTGGGTAAGCAACTGATGGTCAACTGTATCAAATGCGGCCGACAGGTCGAGCAACAACAGTGCCGCCACACCGCCTCGATTCAGATGTCTGCGGAGGTCGTCAGTAAGGGCAACCAGTACAGTCTCCGTTCCATGCCCAGGGCGAAAGCCAGACTGGAATGGGTCGAGGGCGGAAGTGTCATCTAGGAAGCCCTGCAGTTTACTGTTTACTGCATTTTTATAAACTTGAAAATAATAAAATTCAGACACAACTTACAATTTTGTTAGAAACAAACATAAAAGATCTTAAATCTCCATTTTGATAAATGCATGTTTCTATGACTAAATATTTGTGTTGAAGTGATAGATGATATTTCACGTCCTGATGTTTTTGACATGTATAGTAATCACTACAGATTAAGCAAAAAGGAATGAATCATGGTCTCAAATTACAAATTATTTTGGGTAGTATCTAAAGTACTATTATAAATTTTTAATCTCTGTTATATTATCTGAAAACATGATGAAGCTTAAAATATTGTGATTATCATGTAATTCAGTTGCACTTACTCTTATAATATTCAGTGTTAAGTTGCCACTTGTTTGCAGAATTAAGAATACAGTTACTCATGATTCATTAATGTGAGTTCTCTATGATAAACACAACTAATTTCTTACAGACTCATATTAAAGTCATCTATAGAATTTCTATAGTCATTTCTATAGAATTAATTCAAACACCAATTAAACTATATTTCATGTATTCCAGATGTGTAGAGGTCATTGCTAAAGAAGGACAGAATCTGAAAGAGCTGTACTTAGTATCCTGTAAAATCACAGACTATGGTACGTAATACTTTTTTTTTTTTTAAACTGCCTTCAGGTGAAACACTTTAACATTAAATGCTTTGAGATTTCTCCTTTCTGGAAATGTAGAAAGACTGTTCATGAATATGGTCAACATTTGTCGGTTCAGAACTGATTTGGAAGGTGTTACAGAGATTTTTAATTGCTGACAATTTTATTGTGTTACGTTTTTATTCTGTTTTTTTTTTTTTGTTGTTAGCTGTCTCAAGCCAGTTCTCTGGAGAGATGCATAGAAATTTTCTGAATAAATAATAAAATTATAATAATATGCAAATATAAAAAAAAAGTTTGGGACAGTAAAGTTTGATGTTTATTTGTACATTCCTGGTCATTTGGACAAGGCCAGATGCAAGCCAGCTATTTCAGTAGGGACAATCAAGAGTCAGGGTCCGGCAGCTAGGATCTAAATAGTCAGGTAGCTATGCTGCATGCACCAATCAGTTCTAAGAACTAGAAGCCAGCAGGGCTGCTGAGAGCCACCATTGGCTTTTAGACAAAGATTCAACTTCTCCCTCCCTCGTATGACCCTGATCCAAACTATGTGTCTAATTTTGTAATTTTTTATTTGTACACACATACGTATGTGTACCAGTAGAACACATCTGATAAAATGGGCTGTAGTTCACAAAAACTTTATATCACGATAAATCTTTAGTAAGTAGATCAGTAATAAATCTATTCCAGTTTTGCCTTGTACCTTTACCTAGTACGAAAACTGTGGCAAATTGATTATTTAGTGGAGTTGGATAAGAAGTATTGGGATAATTGGGATTGACTGACATATTTTCTAAAAAGATTGTGTCAGTTGTCATCTAACATGAAGCTTGATGCCTACAGTAGCAAAGTAGTATTTACAAAGAGATATTAGATGTCCCACCAATCTGCTCATACAGTGTTTAAAATATAATTAAATCTAATTAAGGAGGAGATAATGAGTTCTAACTTGTAACCGCTAAAACAGATTAACATTCCATATCCTTGCATGTAAAGGGAGGGGAAGCATCCCTTTACTAGATTGATAGATCATGGGGAAATATTAACTTCCCACCCCTGCATCTGTTCATAATATTAACAAGGGTTTCATACTATAGTACCATTAAGTATATTCTATGTTGCCAACTAGGGATGAGAAGAAGTTGAGGCCAGGACTGACAAATGGGGGGGGGGGTTTCCATTATTATCATCATCTCTCAGGGTTGCTTTCTTAGATCCTTAAAAGAGGCTATTATTAATCCTCTTTTGAAGAAACCTTTAGATAAACAGGATCTAGCTAATAACCACCCGGTATCAAATCTTCCTTTTCTGGGAAAGGTAATTGAGAGAACAGTCACCAGTCAGCTCCAGACCTTTTTAGATGAAACATCAACACTCAGTCCATTTCAATCCAGCTTCAGGCGAGGCTTTGGGACCGAGACAGTCCTTGTAGCCCTCATTTATTTATTTATTTTATTTTATTAGATTTTTACCCCGCCCTCGCAGCAAGGTTGGCTCAGGGCAGCTTACAGCAATATAAAACAGTACAATAAATAATAAAACCCAATCAAGCATTAATTTAAAACCATAACTATACAACTTAATAAAATGCTAGCATTAACTCCTCAGGGCACAGTCAGCATCATGATCTACCACATGTGTCCCAGGCACTTGGGTCAGGCTATACTTAGAGGACCCGGGGGGTCGGAGTCACTCTCCAAGAACTGTCAGATGTCGGTGGTGGCAGTGGTGGTGGTGGCTCCAAAAGCCTGGTGGAAGAGCTCCGTTTTACAGGTCCTGCAGAACTGTAACAGGTCCCACAGGGCCCTGATCTCCTCCGGCAGCTCATTCCACCGAGAAAGCCCTGGCCCTCGTTGATGCAAGCCTGGCCTTCTTGATGTTAGGGAGGACCAGCCGATTCTGGGTCCACGATCGCACTGCTCTCTGGGGAACATATGGGGAAAGGCGGTCCTTCAGGTATGGACAACCTCATGGACAACCTCCAGATCCATCTTGATAAGAGCAGGTCAATGCTGCTGTTTTTATTAGATCTTTCAGCAACATTTGATACTGTCGACCCTGTTCTATTTTGGTTAGCTGTCTGGCCTCCCTGAGGATTTGTGGGACTGCCCTTGCATTGTCAGAGGGTAGCCTTTGGGGATGAGCAATTAGGCAATCCCTGGGTTGTGGGGTTCCTTGGGGGTCGATCCTATCCCTGATGTTATTTAATATTGATACATGCCCTCTTGTGGAGCTCATCAGGAGGTTTCCTGATGACACCCAGGTCTTCCTTCTGCTGGACAAACAGCTTGAGGCGGAGCTCTTGGCCCTGTCCCACTGCCTGGATGCAGTGGTTGGCTCGTTGAGACAGATCTGGCTGAAGTTAAATCCAGCAGAAACAGAAGTTAGGTAGCTGGGGCGGGCTGGATCATTGAGGGGAAAGTGGCTTCTGACTCTTGACAGGGTCCAGCTGTTGCCAGTGGATTCCATAAAGAGACTGGGGTGTGCTGGACTCCTCTCTCCTCCTGGAGAAACAGGTGTCTTCAGTGGCAAGACCAGATTTTTTCTATCTCAGCTGGGCTCATAAACTGTCCCCCTATCTGTCTCACTCAGGCCTGATGGTCCATGGTGATACATGCCAAGGTCACTTCTGGGTTGGACTATTGCAACTCACTAGGATCCATAGAAAAAGACTTTAAATGCAAAAATAGTGCTAAACTTTATTTAAAAATCCAAGCAGAATTTTTTTTTCTTGAAGCTATGGAAATAAATCAGATTCAGAAACAACTTATTTTTACAAAACAACAATAACAGCAACACTTCCAAAATTGGCTAAACTACTTTCCTGGAAAGTAAGAGAAGAAAGAAAATCACGGATTATACATCAACCAAACAATAAAAATACAGGTCTTAGCTATTCCCCTAAAGCAATAGCCAATGAATTTGCTATATATTATAAAAATCTTTACTCTTGTGAGCTCCGCCTGGCCCCTGCCCGGGGTCGGGAGCCTGTGCCGTTGCTCCCCGGAAGAGGTCGAGGACCTCGGGCCTCTGGGAGGAGCTCGGGCTGGAAAGGCTGCGAGAGGAATCTCTTATATGGAACGGAGCGCACCTCAGACGCCGGCCGGTCAGGGAGTTACTTCACTCCCTCGAGGCCTGCCTGGGACTGACTTCTCCTCGTTGGCTACTCCTGCCCTCTTTCTCTCTGCTACCAGGATCGCCACTCTCTTAGCCAGCCCAGTGCCTCCTCACTGGTTAGCTCCGTTCTTCCTTTTATTCCCCTCGCTTCCCCCACCAGCCCCAGCTCCTCCGCCCCGCCCTCATACAAAGGAGGAAACGCTGCCCCGCCCCTCCAGCCCACACCCTTTCCAGGTCCAGCGCAGGGAGCCGGTGCGGCGCCTTCCTCCTCCGTCTCGGCTCGCCCCGGAGGGAGGTCTCTCGGACGCCACCGGGCCCGCCCTCGTCCTCCGGACTGTGCCGCGGCCCCGCCGTGCCTCCCGCCGTCGCGGGTGAGGGCTCCGTCCTCTTCCTGCCCACCGGCTGTCCTCCCGGCCGCTGCGTTGCCCGTCGCTTCTCCGGGGGTGTCTTGGAGTGCCCGCCTTACGCCGCCGGCCGCCTCCAGGTTAGATGGCAAAGGGGGGGCATGGGGGTCGTCGGCCGTGCCGGCATTGCTCCTCCCGGCCCCCCCGGGAGCTCCGAGGCCCGGCCCTTGTCAGGGCCGGGACAACTCTTCTAGGAATCCTGCAAGTCAGGTGAATGAAGAGTATATAGAAACTCTACCTAATCTCCCTACACTATCTAATGAAGACAGGTTGGCTCTGTACTCCCCTATTACAACTATGGATGTCTCTGAAGCCATAAAAAAATTGAAACTGAACTCTGCTCCTGGATTGGATGGTTTTCATTCTAATTGTTATAAAGCTTTTTGTTCACTATTATGTGTCCCATTAGTTGAAACTTGCAATCAAATTTTAATCTAAGGGGAAATTCCTCCCTCATGGAAATCAGCAACCATAGTTCCTATCCTTCAACCAGATAAGGAGAGTACCGACCCAGCAGGATATCATCCAACAGCTCTGTTAAATACAGACAATAAAATATTAACTATCTTGGCCAAATGGCTTAAAAAATTATTCTCAAATTGATATACCCTGACCAGACAGGATTTATGCCAGGTACGCTGATGGCAGAGAATACCAGGCACACGATTGATGTATTACATTATTGTGAGTACATTTCTAAAGAGGCAGTCATTTTAAGCCTGGACATGTCAAAAGCTTTTGACTCAATAAAAAAGGGTTATTTCCTCTCCTTATTCAGTCTTATGGACTTTGGCTCTGCATTTCTCAGAGGCTTCACTACGATCTATGCAGACTCACAAGTGCAAATAAAGCCTTTGAAAGCTTGCTCTTCCTTCTTTCAAATCAGTCGAGGCACTAGACAAGGATGCCCCCTTAGCCCTCTTATATTCGCATTATCCTTGGAACCTCTTGCAATTAGTTTAAGACGTGATCCAAGTACAGAATGTGTCCAGATAGGTAAACGTATACATAAGGTCTCACTGTATGCAGGTGATTTACTTTTATATCTGTTGTCCCCTCAACAATCATTAGCTGCTCTATAACCCATTTTTGCTATTTTTGGGTCCATTTCAGGACTTACGGTTAACTTAGAAAAATCAGAACTTTTTCCTATAAACTTACATCATAAAACTAAACAACTATTCAAAGCTCATTTTAAATATAAATGGGTTGTAAAATCCTTGAGATACTTAGGTATTCATACTCCTATGCATTTAATGAAATTAGAAGCAGAAAATTTCAATGTTTGATAAGTTTTATAACCAAATAGGAAAAGTTTTAACAATGTTGAATCAAAAGTCATTACCACGGTTAGAAAGAATTTCCATAATTAAAACCTGGGTATTGCCAAGATCGCTTTTTTTGTTTTCAGCTTTACCAATTTCATTAAACGATTCAAAACTTAAATCTTGGCAGACCTTAATA